GAGGGGAGGGGTAAGGGCGGGCTGGGGACGGAGAAGGGAAGGGGCGGAGGCGTGGGGTAGAGCGTGCGGGCGCGCGGAGCAGCCCGAGTAGCCGCCGGAGCGCGGAGCCTGCCCTCCCCTGCGGGGCCGTCCCAGGCAGCGACATTCCAGGCCACCCGGCCGACGAGGCAGGGTAGCGGCCATCCCGGGACTCGGCTCGGGGAGGGATGGTGGCGGCGGGGCGCGGGCCGACACAGCCTCCAGCGCCTCCCGCCCGGTCCCGGGCTCTGTGAGTCGGGGCTGCGCGCAGGGCATGCGGCTGCGTCCCGCTGCCCTCGGCCCCTGCGCCCCGGCCCGGCCGCTCAGTCCCGCGGAGTCCGGTCCCCGGCACCGCCACTGAGTCCGGGCGCCCCGCCATGCCGCGGGCCCGGGCGCCCCTGTACGCCTGCCTGCTTGGGCTCTGCGCGCTCGTGCCCGGGCTCCCAGGTAAGCCGCGCCGGGGCGCCGCGCCGCCAACTGCGGAGAAAGAAACTTTGTTGTTGGGTTGAGAGCCGCCTCCTGGCGTCCTGGAGGCGCAGGGCTGGAGGGGTTGTGCGAGGGTTCAGGGCGCCTTCGGAGCCCTCACAGGTGAGCGAGTCGCTTCGGGTGCAGCCCTATCTGAAGCTTTAGAAACGCTGGCGCAGCAGGGCGCACCTCGGGTCGCGGCACCGCGGCCGGTCCCTCTCCCTCCCGGGCCGAGGAGGAGTCTGCCTTCCTGTGTAAACACACTTGCCCATCTGCTGACCGTGCAGCGAGGGTGCTGCTGCCAGCCCCCGGCTTTGGACCTGGACTCTATGCCCGGCACAAAGGGACCTCTGTGGCCGGACGGGGGCGGTCAGGCCGCTGAGAGACAGAGCGAAGCCACTCATGCCCTGGATCCGGGGAGGCGAACCGAGGCGCGAGACCCAGAGTCTTCCCAGGGGCCAGAGACAGGGCTCATCATAACGCACAAGACCTTGGCTCCCGAAATTTCTGGCTCGTAGGGTCCCTGGAAAGGGAGCACTGGTGGCCTAGAAGCTGCGATGCAGTTCCAAAGGCACGCAGTTCGAATTCATTGCAGGATGAACATTCTCCTCCCGTGCGATTTAAAACCACTGGAGGGTCAGCTAGGAGTTGGCAAAGACAAACAACAGGACCCCCTAGAGCAAATCCTCAAGTTTCCCTGTGCCTCCACCACCCTCTAACCTCTCACCTCCCCCGACCCCCCAAACTGCTGCATACCAGAGGGGAGACCCACACCCTCAGCCCCAGCCGGGGCCCACCTGGCATTCCTGACCAGATCCCTTCTGCTTGGCTTTATCCTATACAAAACTCACACTTCCCTAACTGTAGGATCCTGGAGCAGAGCGCGGGAATGTGAGACTGTATTAGCCCTTCACTGCCGTGGGTGGGCAGCGGTGAAGGCGCCCCCAGTTTAACTTTCCGCAGTTTGTAGTTAGGAGGCCTCTGAGGAGGGGGTGCTCTGGCGCTGGAACCGCCAGGCGAGCGAGCTCCTTTCCCCCAACTCCCGCCACCTCCCCAGGCGAAAGTACAGGAAGCTCCCAACTTTCTCCTTTCCCTTAGAAAAGAATTGAGTGTTGGGATGCCCTGTTCACTTTCAGACTTGAGACCTTGCTTGCTCTTGTGAGCCAAGCGGTTGCCTGGTTGCCTGCGGGGAGCACTGCCCCCCCCTCACTTCCCGGGGTGTCTCATTTACATGAAGGTAACCCTGGTTTATGTCTGAGAGCCGGGGAGCGGTCTGCGCGAACAAAAACGTCGTTCAGGCTCTCATTCAAAGTTAATACTGTTGCAGGGTTTCTTTGACGCGAAAAGAATTACTCCGGAGCTGGGGGGGGAGGGGGGGGAGGTCAGTGGCTTGCAAACACACCTGCCAGCCAGTGCTCATCACTGGTGCTTTACAAAGAGAAGGACAGTGTAGCCCTCGCCCCCCACCACACGTGTATCTTTGCCAGTGGCCTCTGCTTTGCGAGGGTGGCACTTTAGTTGGAAATTGTGCTTTAGTAAAATATTTCTTTTTGGTAGGACCACATTATCTCCCATTAAAACCTGGCAATCCTGTTATTCCCCTTTTCTTTTTTTTCTGTTTCTTTTGTTTTTGAGCCTTGGGGTTCTGTGAGATGAAAAGAATAAATTAGGAACTGTTCAAGCAGATGACTTCTAAGGACCCTTTCACTTGCCACTGTGTGATTCTAATGAACAAGCATGTATTTCCAGTTGCACAGAATTATTTAAACCATCATTTTCCATCAGAGAGTGATTTTTCTTCCCCTGGCCCCCCACGAAGATCTCCATTTTTTCAGGTGGGCCCAAGAATGAGGTAACTAGAAGGAAAATTGATGCCTTTGAGCTGTGGTGCTGGAGAAGAGTATTGAGACTACCATGGACTGCTAGGAAAACAAACAGATTTGTCCTGGAAAGGGTTAAACCGCGTGGCTCCTTGGAGGCAAGGATTCTGAGGCTCCATCTAACATACTTTGGACATGTTGTGAGGAGAGACCGGTCCTTGGAGAGGGACATCATGCTTGGGAGGGTGGAGGGACGGCGCAGGAGAGGAAGGCCCTCTATGAGGTGGATTGATTCAGTGACTGGGATAATCGGGATGGGAGTGTCGGAGACAGTGCGATTGGCACAGGACAGAGGGGAGTTTAGGGTTGTTGTACATAGGGTCGCTATGAGTCGCAGGCGACTCGACGACACATAACAACACAACAACAGGGAGCTCTGGTGGCCTAGTGGCAAGATGCTGCACTGCCATCCCAGAGGTGGTTGCTGTTGTTGTTATGTGCAGTCGAGTCGCTTGCGACTCATAGCGACCCTATGTACAACAGCCCTAAACTCCGCTCTGTCCTGTGCCAATCGCACTGTCTCTGACACTCCCATCCCGATTATCCCAGTCACTGAATCAATCCACCTCATAGAGAGTCTTCCCCTCCTGTGCTGTCCCCCACCCTCCCAAGCAGAGGCACGTGGTTCAAATCCGCCAGATGCTCTGCTGGAGAAGGAGGGGGCAATCACCTCCTGTACCAGTCAGATCTGATTTGACGGTACACGTAAAAATAATATAATAAAAATTAAAAAAAAAGGAAAAAGAAAGAATGAGGTAACTTGCCCACCAGCTTTGTTGGCCTTGTCCATGGGTTGGGAATGGTGGGCCAGGGCTCCGTTGTGGTCCAGTGATCTTTCCACTGCATCATACCCTTTGTACTGTCTGACTCAGTTTAGACAGAACAAGCATGGAGCCTCTGTGGGTTATTCTTACTCCTCCAGGGTTCCCTTTGCTTGTATAGGTGGTGATGGGTTCACCTCCTGCCATTTCCTGTTTGAGCTCAGCCAGCCTGCAGTGAGTCAGCAGTGAGGTGGTGGATAGAGCTGGCTCGTCACTTGTCTTCAGACTTCACCCTTCTTCCTCTTAGTCCTCTCAAGCTTTGCATGGTCTCCTCAGATTAGAGACTGGTTCGCAGTGTTATGATTTCTCCTAGTTTCACAGTGTTGCTGAATCAGTCCCAAACATTCTGATTTCTTTCCCTTTTTTGGGAGGGGTGTGTGTGTGGGTGTGTCTGTGTATATCAGCATGGCAGGCATGTTCTCCAGACCTTGTTTGTGCCTTGTACTAGGAATATGATCTGAAAAAACAATCCTCCTTACCCAGTGAAAGAAAGAGTTGACTTTCAAAGTTGTCCTTGCCTGGGCATTCCTAAACCAGTGGCCCTTTTAGCAGGAAACCTGGTAGTTTAGTAGTGGTAAAGAATTGAACTGCCAACCCAAAGGAACATGGTTCAAATCCACCAACTGTTCTGTGGGAGAAAGATGGACAGTCTCCTCCTGTTTGAGTCACCACCTCTGAAAACCCACTGGAGGGTCAGCTATGAGTCCATTCCTTCCTGAGGGTACTCAACAACAATGATAATACCCCGTTTAGTATACTTCATCTCTGCCCTTGACACTGCAGGAAACAAAACTTTAGTTATGGGGGCTCATTTGATCTCTGGCAGGCCAACAAATTCCCGTCACTCTTGTTATCCTGTGGTTCAAAGCCTCCTTGATAGAGTCCTAGGACAGTGAACTTCTCACAAAATCAGCAAGTATTTTTGGAGAGTGAGGCCTTTTACCCCATTCTTGCTATCTAAAATGGAAGTGTGGTATTATTGATCTTGTTTCATGATTAGAATCGTGTTTGTATCATTTATTTTTTTAAAAACAATTGTTCTTTTAGTGAATGCTCTAAATCCTAAGAGAACCCTTTATCTTTTCAAATGGCCTCAGATTATACTGTGCACACATGCATACACACACACACACACACACACACACACACACACACACGCATAACCTGCTACCACTACATTTTCCATAGTCCATGATTACACTGCTTGAAATTCAGTGCAAGTAACCAGGCATAGGTTTAGAAATGACAGGACAATGAAATGCAAACAGTGCCTTGATTTACAGACTACTGTTTACCCTATGGACTTTATACTTTAACTTTTTTCTTTAGTGAGAGTGGGCTTTTAATAAAGGGGATTGAGCCAGAAGAGGGCAGGGTCTAATTAGCACTAATTAGTATTCCTCTCCTGCTTGTTCTCCATGCTTATTTAGCTACTGAGGCAACAAAGAATTAAAATATCTAAGTAGTTTGGCAGAAAGCCCTTTGTGCCTGCCTGTCCCAGTAACTATAGTACTTCAGCCTGGTTGTGGAAATACGTATCCTGAGAAGTTTTAACACTTTTGGGAATGTGGGATCATGACACAGTACTTAAATAATAATGTCCCAGTGCGTGGCTGGGTTGATGGGAGGACTAGGGCCACCTTCTGTGCGGTTGAAGGAAACTCTGCCCAATCCTGCTCTTCCTTACAATCTCCACTGTGTTCAAACCCACTGTTACAGTCACTCTGTGTGTCAGCCTGTCTCAGTGCAAGTCTTTCTCTTTTTTTTGTCAACTGTGTACTTATCTAGACTATCATTGGCCCAGGATATTTCCTGACCTCCCGCCTCACTATACAGATAAACTTCACTAGGTTTTTCTGTAGCTAGAGTTTTTCTTTGTATATGTTAACAAGTATCCTTTCTGTCTTTTCATTCAAAGCACACTGATCAGGGATCTTGCTTTTTACTTTTAATGTTGCAATGTAGCAAGGTGAGGTTCTTTTAAAATAAAAATTTTATACTAGTTTACTTAGAAAGTTTGTATACATTGTTTTTCAGTAGATCTTACCCCTTTCCCCATCCCTCCCTCCACCCATCAAATTGTATTATCCTATAATTAACCCCCTTCCCCTCCATTCTTACTTCTCTGGTCTCCCCTCCCCACTGGATCCTCATACTAACTCTACAATAATGGTCTTATACAGTATTTGTCCTTATGTGACTGAGTTAGTTCACTTAACATAATGTTCTCGAGTCCCTCCCAGGTTAGGTAGTGATATACAAAACCATTGCTCCTGGTGCT